AAAAAAGAAATATGGGTGAATGTACAGTAGCATCAGTTGAATCTGACCAGAAATCCCTCTTTTTCATGTAGTTTGAATTCCTTAAATGGCTTACAGTTTCAATGACCTTGTTCTTTTCACACCTCTATCAGCTAAAGATTTATGGATTGCATGATTAAAATTATTCTATTTACAGATTGACCACCTGAGGTCTTCATTTAGACAGCTCCTTCAGAGTTGACAAAGCACCTTAGTCTGCTTTTTCTGGTTAAAGATTTCCTGTCTCTCTGCAGATTTCTTATTTTAACACTTTACATTTCAGGATGGTTGTGACAACAGTTCTTCCTAAGATTTTTAAACTTTGAGATATTGATTCCTGACCTAACCTGACATTGTTTAAAAAAATATTCAAAGCCTTTACCAACCTGTTGGTTGTGTTTCTTGTTTAAAAGAATAATGTTTTGTTCAGTAAGGTTTTTTAAAGAACCCTTTAGATCGGTCACGGTGCATGCTGCTGTGCTCTGAAACCCATTATTTTCAATGGCAAGCTCTACTCTAGGGCCCAAAAAGGCATGAGCAAAGCCTAGCTCGAGGGAGCCCCTGTGGTCAGAGTTCAACTTTATTGGATTTTACCCAAGGTGTGCAGACGTGCAGTCAATACAAATCGTTTCATCAGACGGGAGACCAGAAAGCAAAACGGAGTAGAATCTATTATACCGTCTTTCTCAGTGTGTTTGATTTACATTGATTGTTGGGATGATATGACTTTCCCTGGTAAACTCTTGCACTGCTTCACACTGAGCCAGAATAGACCTGGAAATGGTCGGTTTGAGAACAAAGCTCATTCACAAGCCAGAACTCCCCAAACTGCTCCCTTGACCTGAAAGTTTTGTGCACCCACAGCTTCTTCGTTGATGATCTTTTTCCCGATCTACAGTAGCAGGGCTTTCCCCAGCGCTTGGTGTATAGATACACTTTTGCTGCTCTCAACAACACATGTAACTGTCAGCACAGCGCTGAACAGGTAGTACAGCTGCACCAAGCCAGCAAGGTCCTGAACCTTGAATCCTGTCTGAAAGGCCCATAAGGCTACATCCACTAGTGGCCAACAAAGGTATCTATGGAGCTAAAGGAGTCTAAAAACACACACTGCAGGTACAAGTGCACACTTAGGAATTCTAAGGCACATAAATGAATCATAAATTGAGAATCATAATCTAGGTTTATCATAGGCTAGGTTCACACCGCAGCCTGAAGTGACCCAAATCTGATTTGTTTTGCCCATATGATACCTGGATCTGATCTTTTCATGGCAGTCTAAACAACAGATATCTGATTTTTTCCAATGCGACCAAGGCTGCATGGCTATGTGGTCCTTAATCTGATCTTTTCAAATGAGACCTGTGTCGCATTCATCCGACCTGGCTGTCATTAATACCCGACAGTGGTCACTCTTCTGCCTCTTGCTACGCAGAAGTGGCAAGAAATGCAACAACAATGGTGTACAATAATGCGGAGAGTAGTAATTATGTTTAACCACTACTGAAAGATATAGTTTTTAAGGTTGGGAAAGATGCTAGATGCTCCGGCACTACCAACCATGTTTACTTCGGTAAACACAGAGCACGCTTGCTTGTGACCTTATTGCATCCTCTACTCCGCATGCGGAACACTTAGGTTGTATGAATGCAGTTCACACAGGAGATCACATAAAAGTCGCATATATTTGGAAATGTGAATAGCAACGCAAAAAAAAAAATGGAATTGAGCATCAAGGCCTGCAGTGTGAACGTAGCCATAGTGTCAAAGATGATGGATGTGATTGTGGACCCAAACGCAGAGTAGAAGGAGGCCAAGATGAGTTTCTGCTGATTTTATCAAAAATACAACAGAAATAAAAACCAAGAACAAAACACAGGAAACCAAAAACCCAGAAAGGCCAGGGGAAACACACATTAGGGGCCAAGTAATGACAAGAAACCATCACTGAGGAACTGCACAGGAGGTGTATATACAGGTGCTGGTCATAAAATTAGAATATCATGAAAAAGTAGATTGATTTCAGTAATTCCATTTAAAAAGTGAAAC